TGGCAAATGTGAGTCCTTTTTTGGGTTTCTTACTCCTTCTCGATCTGTTCTCGCGATTTCTTTATTCGTGTTCTTTGGCGAGGATTTGGGTTGTTTCCTTATGAATTTGATTTTAATTGATTGCGGATTGATTCGGGGTAGATCTAATCTGGAATGTGAGAAGCTTCGTGGGGTCTTTTGATTTGGTCTAAAGCATATCTAGGGTTTCTACTGCTTTAGCTTAATCTATCAAGCTCTGTTTTTGGCTACTTTTATTATGTTTTCGATTTGGATCTCTTATTGTAATTGATTTGGATTTGTATACATTTCAGTTTTAGTTCCCAAGTTTTTTGAATTTTAGGTTTTTGGTGAATCTCTGGATACGTAGTAATTGCTGTCGTTACTGCAAATTAATCAAATATTGAATATTTGATCAATGTGTGATGTTTTAATAGGTTCAATGACTTTGGAGTCGACGGCGGTCCTGCAGCTAAAGAGTTGGCTCCAAAGCTTGATCTTGCCAAGGGACATTTATCTTCTAGATTAGGGGTAACTTTGCCCAAAATAGAGGTAATAAATGAGCCTGGTTATGATGTTCTCGTCTCTTGTGCTCTCTCTCTCTATCTGACATGGAGAATGGATTTATATAGGTGAAACAAGTCGTGGCTACTATTATTGCTCTGAAAGGAGTTGGAGGCTTACTCTTTGTTATCGGAAACATCTTTGGTGCTTATCTTCTGGTTAGGCTTCTACTTGTTTATCTCCTGTTAACAAATAAGGAATTCAAAGCTTGTCGATTATATGACTTTAAAAATCGTAATTTTTTTGTTTTCAGGCTTTCTACTTGGTGGTTGTCAGTCCTATTCTGTATGATTTCTACAACTACGGACCTCAAGAACGTCACTTCTCTCTTCTGTTGACAGAGTTCTTGCAGGTTTGTCCAAAAACTTTCTTCAATTATCGTAATCTCAAGAAACTGGAGACTGTGTTTCCATTAAGGGGGGCGCAATCGATACACAGCTTAAAACCTTTCAGTCTTATGACAATGAACAATGATTCGATTAAAAATCTCATTCCTTTTGCAGAGTGTTGCACTCTTTGGAGCATTGCTATTCTTTATTGGAATGAAGAACTCAACACCTTCCAAGACGACGAATCTGAAGAAGAGGACTCCTAAGCCAAAAGCTGTTTAGTGCTTTATATCATCCTTACCTTGTGTCCTTATGGGTTGCCACGAGCAATACCTTTGGTTTTACCTTCAATTTTCCGGACAAAAATCTGTTGTTAGAATTTTGGTCTTTTCCTTTGTAGGATTCTTAGATTTAGCTCATGATATGTTTATCTTTCACTTGTGATCATTCTATGAGATCTTGGAGTTTTGATTTATTGAAACTTTGAATCATGCAGAGCTATCTGAACAACGATTTCGTGACATTGAAATTCAATTAACTAACAAAAAAGGTTATGAAATTGCACATTTATATGACCCATGGTATACGCAACGCTTTCAAATAAAATAAAAAAATGTCAATCCACAAAATCTCTCCTGCTCCATCTTCCTGATCCTCAAAATCCGAAACGCGAAGTGATCGAGCTTTCAAATTCGTAAACCCTAACTCAGCTTGATTCGCCATCAAAATGGTATT